TCTATAAATACCCACAGAAGGGTCACTTCACCCTGGGCACAGAGAGAACTGCTCCTGTACTCTGAAGATGTCGGTCACAGGTGCTGGCGGAACGTTAGGAAACAAGACTTCAAGACCATGGCCACACAGCCCGGAAGACCCACACCAGCCATCGTATGCCGGCCATGAAAGCCTTCGACAAGACATAGGATTTTCAGAATTGATCTGATGATTAGACTAGAATAGCACAAGTGCTAATACATTCGGGAGGCACAGGACTGAAGTAACTAACATTTTAGAGGATAGTTAGGCAAAATATATCACATATGTACCAATGCTTCTATCAGTTATCTCATTTTTAAAGTGCCTCCTTCCTTTAGCTTTTTGTTGGTCCTTGTAACTATGGATCTTAGACTTCAAAGGGTTTCGAATGCTTCTGAGATTTCAGTATTTTAATTTAATCAGGGAGGGTTATGGCTGTCTGTGCTTGTCTGTATGTGATTATAATATATACTGGGAATGGGCCATACACTTTTTGTTATGTGTGTGTGTGTGTGTGTGTGTGTGGCAGGGGATATGAATATGTACATGTGTGAATATTTATCTCAAAGACAGAAATCAAAGAAACATAGGTTTAGGAAGCTAATAATAGTCTGGGATCTAAAACCCCTTGACTTTATGCACCCAAAAAGTTGAGGCTGCATTTGGCATTTGGAAAACCAAGCTTACTTTCAAAAGTGAGTGGTAATAGTGATCCATAAAGACATAATTTGTTAGTCTGAACATCTGATATATCCCAAGAATATTCAAAATAGTGTTTCTCAATTTGGTTTTTGTCCTTTTTCTATTTAAATATTGACTCTCATGATGTCTAAAGAATGTTGACACTTCCGCCAGCCGGCTACCTCACACACAGCTAGAAACACCCAGCCATCAGAAAGCTTTTGGTCTTGCCTGGTGTCATGCTCTCCCCTCTGCAGTATTGGATGGCAAATATAAAACAGTACAGTGGTACCTCGGGTCACGAACGCTTCTGTTCACGAACAATTCGGTTCACGAACAGCACCGCTCGCAAAATTTTGCTTCCGTTCGGGAACTCCGCATCGGGTTGCGAACAGGATCCGTGGCCATTTTCCCTGCTGTGACACGTGGTTGTGGTTTCCTGTAGGGAGGGGGACTCTCCCATCAAACAATAACCACCTCCCCACTCGCCTTCCTGCCCTCCACGCCAGAAGTCGCCTCAAGCAAGGTTAGCGTTCTCTCTCTCCATACTGTACTGTA